GTTTAAAGAATTGCCTGATTTTTGAGTATTTCTAGAATCATCAGTATTTTGGCTTGGTCCTTGTTCTGTTTTTTTGTTAGACTTTCTTAATGTGACGTTTGATATGACTCTAATTTTTTTCTTTTCCTCCCACTTTTCTAAATTGCGCAGGTAAGCGTTTTCTTTATCTTTTCTCAACTTTTTTATAAACTCTTCCTTCTCTGTTTTGTTCATTTTTCTAAATATAAAAAAACAGCTAAGTACTAGTTTGTAACAATAATACAAAAGCAATTATAGAATATTGTCCGGTCAGCACCGCGATTGTCCGGTCCGCACCCTATTATATAGGTGCGGAAAAGACGGTGCGGACGGGACATTTTTCTACTTCTTACTCGTTATTTTATAAACGGTTCATAATAAAAAATATATATTGAGGTTATGTATTACCGATACAATATAATATTTTTCTAAAAATATAAACTTTGAAATAATGCTTATATCGTAACACCAAGCACTATGCAGACGGGACATTAGAAAAATTGCGCAAAAGGACTATTCTTTAATTTTTACAAAAAAACTAGATTTAATGTAAAAATAATAAAACTTACCTGATGCCACTCAACACACACTATAAGAAACAATGATTATCAAGGTTAAACAATCAACAGTGTTGCCAATACGGCCGGGTAATAACAAGGGCCCGAGAGGTGCAGCCTGGACATTTCGAGATTGAGACACACATGAAAATATGATTAAGCAAATGTGTTAAGGTTGATATGGTAATTTAATATACAAATTTATTGGATAATAGCACATAAAACAATACTTGCTAATAACGGTGTGGTTTTAAGCCTAATTAAAATTTAGGTTTGCCTTTAAAATACCAAATATGCTCTGCGCGACAGGTGCGGACGCGGACATTCAGCTTAACTATCTACTAAAAATGTATTTCAAAAACCTAAATTTTGACGTAAATGGGGTTTGTTACGGAAAAGATAATGTGTTTAACATAAACCACAAGAAAAGCGCCGAATATTATAAGAAATATTTTAGTTAATAACCAAAGACATGATTTTTTTCGTTTTGGACAATTAAAAAAAATATCACCTTAAATGCATTTAGCTTAACCGGAACAACACGATCGAATTTGCAAATATCTGCTTCACTAATCGATAAAATATTGGTTTTTTTACAATTATTTTTTAAAACAGAAAAAAATTCGTTAAATGAAGACACATCTTTGCCATGGGCCACGCTAGCATCCGCTGTTCTTTTAACAGCTCCCCCGATTCCATCTGGAGCCCCCTTGCCATGACCACTCTCGCTGTAGTGCCATTGTATTTGTTCGACTTCCAAAGTTTTTGCAATCTGATTAGCTATTAAATAAAACATCGTTTTGTTTTTGTATTGAGTTGTAGGCCCATCACTCAGAAAATGGGCAATTTTAATTTTCCCTATCTGCGTTTTAGTCCTTGTAAATACTGGTTCTAAATGGGCACAGATTGCTGGTGGATCATGACGCAAGCTCTCTGATATTGTACAATAGTTTGTATTTATTGTCTTTTTGTTCTTGTTATGATAAACAATTACCGTATGTAAGGAAACCTGTGGTTTTGATCCCCCAAAGTGTGCAGACTGAATTTCTTCCCCATACTTGCAGTTATAATTTTCTGAGAAATCCATGTGTATCAAAATTTCATTGTCAGCAAGATTGTTTTTAACATCGTTGATAACTTTGTATTGGTGAATAATATTTCGCATGTGCAACATATATTTAGGTAGATCGTTTTTGAGTTTTGTGACTAATTCACTAGCTGAAAAAGTAACTGGTTCTTTAATTGTTTTTTGGCATATTTTTTCAGTTCCTTTGACAACAACTTTTTCTTTTTTGTTGATCCACAACTTGCAAACCACTGCTTCATCGGGTTCATAGTTATTCAAAAAAAATGTCTTGCCCTTACATAAGTCACAGGTGCGACTAAGACATGTTTCATTTGTTTCTTCACAGCAAAGCTCCTTACACAGTTGATTTGGAAATGTGCTGTCAATTATGTTTAGAACTCTTAGTTTACGTGTAATAAGAGCCATATTCTCATGATGAATACACGCGCAAGTCTCTCTTGATCTTACATTAGGTAGTAATATCCAGAAGGGCCTATATTTGCAAAAGTGGGCATAACTAATTCTCCTATATTGTGGATATGTTTGGGTGAACTTTATATGAAGATTTTTCAAAGAGTCGCTTAAAAATCTCTTTTGTCTTTTTGCTTTGTTTTTTGTTATTGTATCTTTCTTCCCTGGTAACATGCGACTGCATTCATCTCTCTCTAAGAAGTCTCGAATTGTTTTCTGCAGCCTGCCCTTTTTTATGTTTTTGTTGTTTAACGGCCTATTTGGCCTACACATTTTACGTGACCAAGTGGTTAGGACATTAAGAAACCTGTATTTCTTCATTACATTTCCAGACACTGCTTTTATAATATTTCTCTTGCCTTTCAAAAACTTTTCACGCCGTAGATTTTCTGTTATTTGCTTTTTTACCACCTCTCCAAAAAGCACTTTCTTTCTAATTTCCTCAATCATATTTTCCTTATTTTCTATTAACTCATTTACCTTGTCTGTTGGACTGTCTGGAAGAGCGCTTTTTTTCCCCTTCTCTCTAATAATAATCTATTGCATCTTCTTTTATATGTTCCCATTTTCTTTTTTAAAGTTGCATTCTTTGCTTCTAACTTTTTTATTGTAGCGTGTAACTTTCGTCTGTTTTTCTTAGATTGCCTTTTGCCTTGAAGCAATTGTCTGCTTGGAGTTTCATGAGGAGGTTCAGGTAAATCATTAACTTGCGGGCTAGCTGGAGGGGTGATATCAACTATATTTTCTATCATTCTAAGTCTTTGGCGGTATTTTTTGGAGGAATGTCTCCAAGTTTTTCGCTTTTCTCTTTTTTCTCTATTCGTCAGATCACTTATGTTCTTTATTTTGCCTTCGTTTCTGCGTTTTTCATACCTTTCCCTCTCTTTTCTTTTGTATTCCTCGTATTTCACAGGGTCATTCCGAATACGTTCTCTCATTTTTTTCATATTCTGTTTAACTTGTTCTTTCCGTGATTCATATTTATCTTTTTTCTTCTTTATGGGAGCCATATTGAACACTGAAAATAATGAAAATAGCATTAGATAGAGAACTGTCAACTCCGTGATCAGCATAGTCAACACCGTTATCAAACTTAGATAACGGAGTTGAGATAACGGAGCTGATGGACACAAAGGTTTATTTGAGTTTAATTTTAGACAAAACTACATAAAATAATCAAAACAGGACATCTTAAATTTCATGAAGTATTACACAAAATTACTAAAAAATAATAATTAACTAATATATTTACCTTAAAAGATTGATCACGGTAATGATAGTACAAGCCTGTCCAAGATCGGTCTTAGTCATACAACGTTAAGTTTTGTTTACACTCGACACTACTTCACTCGATTGTGGTCAAATTCAAACTGAACGAATTTGTACAAAGTGTCTGAAACAATGCGCGTTAATTTGCACGCCTCCTGGCGGTTTCTATTGCAAATTTAAAGTTGATAACAGGATTGACGCTAGTACCCTGGGACATGAATTATTTAAAAAAAAAAAGTAAGAGAACATTTTTTTAATTTAATTGAATATCATAAAATCTAATTTTTAGACTTTGTTTAATAACTTGTCATAACTAAATTTTACATCAGCTTTTTCAAATCTAGTGAAATACTATTTTGTTTGTTTCAAGTATGAGTTGGGACAGATAACGGAGTATGACATTGGCCATAATTTGTTCCAAAAAAACGATAAAAAAATATAAAATTATTACATTTTGCTTTTCCTTCAAAAGAAAAGTGTTTTGGCCATTTAATAAATAACTAAAAAACTTATTATTTTGGAAAAATGGATTTTTTATTTACTGTTCTAATGAATTGTACCTTTTCTGAAGAATGACCCATATCTGCGAATGATATTTAGGAGGAGGTAAAATAAAGTCCGCCTAAAGGCGGCATATGCATTACAGGGTTAAAATGTTTTTTCGTTCCCTTGCCTTTTCGACATCGTTTAATCAAGGAAAAGATGGCTAATCAAGTGAATAGTAAATTTCTACGCGCCAATGCTGTCGGCCCGTCGCATCGGCAATATTGAAATAAAACAGTCCGTTCCACACTCCGCAGTATCCCCACCCACTCCGCAAGCACGCAATAGGTACCTATGAGGCAATTCGTTAACACCCGTCGGTGGTGAAGCGATCTTAGCTGCAAACAAAACATTGTTGTCAGCTTCCTGCGCCCCCTGTATCCGCCCTTGAGTATAAGTGATTTACATATTTTTGTCGAGTTTTTTTGTTCTTCTGTTTTGATCAATTAAAGTTTCTACTCTAAATTTCCAAATTATTTGACGTCAAATTGAAAAATTCCATATTTTCCCAGCGTCAGATGATTCACTCTAGACGATTCCATTTTTTTATTCGTCACTTATTAATATTCCAATGTATATAGAACTTGTGGTTCCTGAGCCCATAACCTATTGGCTGGATTTGTGAAATGCCACAATAAGTTTGTTCTGTTTGTTTTTGATTTTTTACGACGTAAATGAAGTCGTAAAAAACAATTCCCTAATTTTAGATGCTAATCAGTCATTTATATTAACTTTTTCTTTAATTACACATACCCATTTCGACTTCGAAATTTTGATCGATTTTCACCTTTTGGAGGTACTTGAGTCCGGAAAACATGTTTTTTGAAATATGTATGCCTGTGTGTGTGTGGAAAAAATTTGTTTTACGATTTAGAAAAAACGGTTGAATGGATTTCCACGTAATTTTCAGTAAAAGCCGGAAATAAAAAATATAGAACTGTATAGTTTTTGGAAGAAACCGGAACGTAAAAAGGGGATTTTTGTAGCGTTTTCGAATTTCAAAAATTATAAAAAAGATACCTATTCAAACAAAACTGTGCAAAAATATTAAGTAACTTTCTTATCTATTCTAGGCAATGAGTCGAGGAAAAATTCTCCTCCAACTTGCTGCTGAAGCAAGAAAGGTAAATGTTGAAGAAGAAGGTAAGATAAATTAATTATTATTGTAGAAAATTAAGCTGATTCACTATTATGAGCCATCTCAGTAGTTGATTCCTGATAGAAAACGCGATACATTTGCCAAATTTTCTGTTGCAGGTCCGCCAAGAAAGCCTTGTGAAGAAATAAATCAAAACCTTAAACAAAATCATCAAGTGCCTTCAACAGAGATGCCTGCAACGGAGGTGCCATCAACAGAGGTGCCATCAACAGAGGTACCATCAACAGAGGTGCCATCAACAGAGATACCTTCTTCGAAATTATCAACTTCTTCCACAAGTGGCAGCAAAGACAACTCAGCAACTGGTAATAAAAATTAATAATTAAAATAAACTAAGTTTAATAAAGTTGATTCCTGATGCAGGTCAGCCATCAAAGTCTTGTAAAGAAACAAATCAAAACTTTATCCAACATAATCAAGTGCCTTTAACAGATGTGCCTTCAACAGAGGTTTCTTCAACAGAGGTGCCACCAGCAGAGATGCCTTCTGCGAAATTATCAACCTCTTCCACAAGTAGCAGCGAAGACAACTCAACATCTGGTAATAAGAATTAATGAATAAAATAAATTAAATGTAATAGATAATTATTCAATTCAAACAATCTTTTTGTTTATTAACAGTTTTAATCTATTTTAAATCTATTTGGTTTCAGACTTTTATAGTGATGACAGTATTGCTGACCCTACTTTTAAGATTCAAGAAGAGAACTCCAACAAAACTAATGAGAAGAAATAGAAAAATACCCTGAGACTGTTGATCTGAATGAACCTTCAACCGGCGCCGAAGAGAAAAAAAGCGAGGAAGAAAGACGGTTTATCATAAAGAAAACTGGAAGAAGAATGTGTCCAAACGGTTGAGAAACTCTTGAAAAGCTTATGACATGAACTCAAAAACCAAAGATAAGACTAGACCGCGTCAATTGCAACCACCTTGTATAGAGAAGTGCAAACAGAAATGTGCTCCAAAATAAATGAAGAAGACATACTAGATCTATTTAAAAAATATTGAGCCCTGGGAGACTTAATAAAATAGAGGCATTTTATAAGCAATGCGACTGATACAATTAAACCCAAATATAGAAACGTAAGAAAAATGAGCCCACAGAGACACAAATAATGCGTACTACTTGTAATATAATCTTGTTATTGTATCTATTTTTATAGTGTTTTAAGCTCTATAATTTTGGGGAGTGGGTAAGGTTATTAAACAACTCGTATTACTTTGAAAAAGAATGTATTTAAAACTTTCTTAACTTGACGATCGATTAGTGATGAAAATATAGAAAATCACTAACCATTAAGATATTATAATTAAATAAGGTAGCGACAAATTCCAATTCACAGAGACTTACTTATTCAAATTTAAATGATTTATTGAAAACTTATCTGTGGTATAACAGGTAGCAGGTACAGGGGATTCGTATGATAGGCTTGGATATCACCAACTGATAAATCTTCATAGGTAAAGTTAAATCTCGTACACTTCTTTGGATGTCTCGAACTAAACCTCTTGAAATACTTGAAACAACATCTGTAGCTGGAACCAAACTTCTAAGTTTCAATATTTCTACACATGCAGCTGGAACGTTCTTCCTAACAATCTATTTCGATAAACTTCTATAAAACCATCGATATAACTTCTATAGAAACTCTACTGAACCATATAGATACAGCCAGGCTACAAGGAAAATATCAAGAGAAGGACTAGGAAGAGTATATAGGAAACAGATTAGATGCTTTTTACTATCAAATGAATAAATTAAACTATTATTTGAATAGTTACACAGAGGCTAGAATTAATATGAATAGTAAAAATCTTATTTAACATATTTAAATATAGTAAAGCATAGTATCTTTTTCCTAACAAAATAGTAGATAAAATTATATAAAACAAGTGATTTCTTGTGTGATTCAATGTGTTGAGGTTATGTTTCAAATTTGACATTTTAATTAGACATTCTTGTACTAAATATATAATTTCAACAAAATATCGGTAGAAAACTTACCTTTTTAAAATCAGACGGTCATTAAAAATATTAAAGACAATTAGCACATCGAATGTCCAAGATAAAAGATAATTAGAATTCAATAATTCAACTTAATCGATGACAGCTATATATCGAAATGAATTGCCAACTGTTGACACAAGGCATAAACGACAAGTGACATTTGTGTAGAGATGTTGGTGTCAAAATAACAAAAACGGTTACAACCGTTACAATGTTTGGGACTAAATAACGGTTTCAACCATTACACCCCACTACCTACGGGTAAAAAAAAAATTAAATTTTAATTTGAATTTTTTGTTATTATTATTTTTCTTTACTATTTCCATATTCTCTCCTTTTATTGCAACTAGTTAGAATGATACAAGAGGTGAAACGATCAATGGATTACTTTTCAAGAGTGTTGCCCGCCGATATCCACAGTAATCAAAGGTCACTGCAAGAAAAGGTCCTTCAAAAATCATTCCACTCCAAATACCACTGCTAAACCAATTACCGCAGAAGAAAATTAAAAATTGCAAAAAAAATGATTATACACCATCATACAATGAATAACACAAGATATCGCTGTAAAAAAATGTTAATAAAAAAGAAAGAAATAAGAAAATATATACTTCCTATTAGATTAGTATACAAAGATAAGAAAATAAGTATAAAATAAATTTAAACGAGCGTGAAAATACTTTTTAAAAAACAATTTATTTCGAAAATTAACAGAGATTCTCCCGAACAGTAATTACGAGTGGCTATAATGAATCTGCCTCTAAAATTGAGAACAATGGTATTTATAGGTTGATAAGCTTCCTGCTGATTAGGCTGGATCCGCATTCATGTGGGTGGACTGCACCTTGGATTGGGGTTGTAACTCCTCCCTTCTTAGAGTGAAATTACAGGGTTAGATTGTCTTGACATTCGTTCTGGAATTTCTTCTAAATAAATTTCTTTCTTCGGATTTTCTTTCTTCTTTGGCTTGATACATTTTTGAATTAGATTGAAAAGTTTAAATTTTTTTCTTAAACAAATAAATAAAGTAATTAGAATTACTATTATTATTAATATTAAAATTGAAATGTAGCTCGTACTTTGTGGAATGAAAATATTTTTAGGTAGACTTTTAATTTGAATTTTTTGAATTTCTAAAGCTGATTTTAAATTGTTAATTTCATCCAAGTTTATTGAGTCTAATTGGAGTGGCTTCAATTCGATGTGGTTTCTATCGTCTTCTTCTGATTTTACTTCGATGTTTAATTCTGGTATTCTTATTGGATTAAATTCAATGATAGGATTTTTATAAGTTTTTAATTTTAAATTTTCGATGATTATAGAACATTGACTGGGTAGTTCTATAAGGTAAGTACCTTGAAGAGGAAATTTGTCTTCTTGTATTCCACATACTTGGGTGGCTACTTTTCTTCTAGGAACTATGACTATCCATCTATTTTCTTTAACTTTTTGAATTTTTGTATTATTTATTGACACTTCAAAGGGTTGACAAGTAAGGGCTTCTTTTGAAAATCGAAGCATGTGGACTTCGCAAGGGGATTCTTCGTGAATTGTTTCTTGATTTGTTTCTTGACAGAGGTATGATTCTTTTCCAACTTCTTTACAGGGTTGTTCGAATCGTAAGTAAGTAGTATCATGAAGGAGAAGGTATTTTGAATGGGGAATAATGATTTTAAAGGTTTGTATTCTAGGAGTAGGTAGGGGATAGATATGGTAGTAATTATGTGTTATAGGTTCGACTAAAGGAACTTCAATGATAAAAATAATCTGATTATTCTTATTATAACTTTTTATTTCGAGTACTCCTTCAAATGATAATATATTTTCTAGTTTAGGTTCAAAAGGTAATCTATAGTTACTTTCTATGATTTTTCGAATATTAACTATTTCTGATAATAAATCTGTTGGTTCCACCATGCTATTATGAAATGTATTTAATTTTGCAAAGGTAATGGCAATTTCTAGTCTTTCTAATATGTCATAAATTCTTTGAAAAGCTTGTGCAAATTGAGTGGCAGTTACGTGAATTAAAAACATTTGTTCTACATTATAAACGTATGATTTTTCTTGTTTAATTATATTTTCTATTAATTTTACTTTTAAAGCAAGTTCTTGTTCGTTACGCCATAGTTTTTTGGTATTATTTTGAAATGTATCAATTGATTTTTGTAATAAGGAAGCTTGATTAAGTGTAATCGTTTTTAATTTATCTTGATTTGTCATTAAAGATTGAATCATTTGGTCATATCTTTCAGCGTCGTCTTGATCTAAATTACCTGTTATTGATTTAAAAATGGTACCTAAGTCGTTAATTAGTCCTCGTTTTGTTCGCTTATTTAAGGTGGGGTTAATTTGATTTAATTGAGATATAATTTTCTGTTCAAGGGCTGTGCCTAAAATGAAGGAATTTCCAAATTCATTTAAGTAGGTTGTGTTAGCTTGTCTAACTGTAAAATGTAATTTTTTATATTCACTCTGTAATTTTTCGAATTCATTAATTGTATCGCTTATATCGAATATTTGTATAAAAGTCCAAGTGTCTATTTTATTTTTTGCTATTCCTAATTTTAAGGGTAATATACCAGGGTTTTGTGTTAAGTCATGTACTTTTGGTTCTGTCACTGTCGATCTTGTCTTTTTGAAGTAGAGGTTGAAGATGAGGAGGTATCTGTAATTAAAACGGGTTTTCTTAGTTCTTTTGCATGAACAATTTCTTTTCTGTTATAGTTAGAAGTGTCTGTTAGTTCGAATTTATTATTTTCTAAAATTTCTGAAATTACGTAAGGGCCTAAAAATTTATTATGTTTTTTGTTTCTAGATTCGGGGTTCTTTTTATAAACTTGTTGACCTAATTTAAATTCTTTTGTTTCGTTACCTTGTATATTTCTTTTAGTAATTACTTTTTCTTTATTTGCGGAAATTGTCTTTTGTACGTCAGTGTATACTTTATCTAATTTATTTTTGTGGTTTTCAGCGTAATCTGTATAAAAAATTTCAGGTAGAAATATGTCTGTTGCATTTCTGCTATTAGTATGTCCAAAAGTTAATTCAAAAGGGGTCAATTTTGTGTTAGAATGTATTGTATTGTTGTAACCAATAACTGCGTAGATAATTTGTCTATTAGTGGGTTCATTTGGGTAAAGTTCTTGCAGTATTCTTAAATGTTCAATCAGGGTTGAATGAAATCTTTCTATAGTACCTTGGGATTCATAATGATGAGAGGTAGTAAAGTGAATTTTTATTTTATGAAGATTTAAAATTTCTTTAACAGTTTCATTGTTAAATTCGGTACCTTTATCTATTATTAATTGTTCAGGAATTCCGTAGACCGGAAAGGATTGAATTAAGGCATTTGTAATGTCTATAGCGGTTTTAGATTGTACAGGGTAGGCTTGTGCTAATTTTGTAAAGGAATCTACTAGAGTTAGATATATATTTTTATTATAAAAGAAAAGGTCAATGAGGACTATCTGAAAGGGTCTGGAAGGTGTTGCTGTTAAAACAATAGGTACATAAGGATTTTTTCTACAATATTTTGTTCTTTGACAAATGTCACAATTATTTATGTATTGAGTTACGTCATCTTTAATTTTTATCCAATAATAATTTTGTCGTAATTTTAAAAGGGTTTCATTAATTCCGCGATGATTGGTTTTACTTTCGTGTGCATATTTAATTAAAAGGATTTGTTCGTCTTTGTCTGTCACAGTGTTTACAAGTTTTGTAC